TTTTGCTATATATTAATGCCATTGAATTGAATACAGTCTGTGGTCTCCGCGTCTTCAGAACCCGACACAATCAAAATGTCCACAAATATTGAGTCCAACTCTTTGTCCAAACGAAGACATATTATTGGCATTGAATCCAAAGTCATCGGAAAGAAGAAGACTTTAATCAGACTTTTAGAAAATGGAGGCACTGTTGAGGAAGAGGTCATTAATAACAATAATTGCTGTATTAGTGACGAAGATTTGCTACGTTTGGGTGATATTGGACTTCAGGTATTGTTTTTTAATTAATTTGAATTAATTTTAGTAAATTTATTTGCAATTAAAAATATTATTATTTTTCAGATTCATAAACATTACGGAAACGCAAGAGATATAGAATGGGGTCTAAAAGGGGGCCAAATATTTATGCTTCAGTCGAGACCCGTAACTAATTTAGACAATTCTTACACCGATTACGAGGTTATGCATGAAATGGATAGCCCACATCAAACAGAGTTTGAGATCTACTCTCGAGCCCATTGGGGTGAGAACTTTCCCGGCTCATCATCATGGTTGGTCTTCACGTGGACTTTTGCCAACAAAAGCGGATTTTTTGTATGTTTTAAAAATTATGACAAAATTTCTATCAATATTTACGTAAATATTATATTTTGTTAGCGCTTTGGTATGGAAGACGGGAAAGTGACTGAAGACGACTACAATCCTTACACTCTAGGAATGGGTGTTCAATACAATCAACTGATGTTCAACATGACTAACGTTAGTGACAATTGCTTTTGTAATTAATGCCACATTTAATACTAAATATTAATTAAATTTTCCACCAAAGGGAGGCTTTGATCTATTCAGTCAATACCCCGAATCAGATCAGGCGAGACAAATGGTGTTAGCCTTCTTCGGCCATCAGATCGAAGACAAGGATGTGTTGGATTCGTTCAAAGAGCTGAAACAAGAAGTCAAAAGTCAATCGTTTTACTTCAAAGTGAGAGGTTTTTTCAAAATGTTTCATATGTTGGTCTTCGGGCCCTCAGAACTGATCCGAACAAAGAAGGAATACATCGATGATATGAAATACGATTTGGTAGAGCGGCTGAAGGAGTTTCCCGACGCCAAGCGGATTATGACCGGCATTATTGCCAATTACGAGATAATAGCGAACGTTCAGTTCAAGAATCACGGCCCGGCGTCCATTGGCTCCACCATTAAGCACCTGCTTCTCCACAATGCACTTCAGGGGGCGAAGAGTTAGTGATTTTTTTGGATGTGATTTATGTGACATATTTTTAATTAATTTTTTTTGTGTTTTTCATCAGAAAATAATTCAGAATTGGAGTCGGATTTCAATTTATTGATCTCATCGTGTAATGAAGTGATCAGCGCTGAAGTGCCTAACAGTTTGCGTGAAATCGCAAAGTCTATTGAAGATAAGCAATGGTTCCGACAATTGAGTGATGAGAAGGCGTTGACGACTCTTATGGAGGGCACGGATGAGAGCTCCCGAAGGTTTAAAGCGTTTCTGGAGAAACACGGCCACAGAGGCTACCGAGAGTTTGATCCCATGCATCTGCCCTGGGGTGACAATCCTATACCTGTGATCAAAAATATTAAGGTATTTATTTTTATAACGTGTTATTATTTTTTTTATTTATCAACTTTTTGATCATTGAAATTCATAGGCAATACTATCGGGCAGTGAATCACAATTGGTGCCAAAAATTGCCAAATCCGTGGACCAAGTGATGGATGAGCTGAAGACTCCGCTGACGTTTAGTCGAAAATTATTGATCAAAAAACTATTGCTTCCGTGGAGTAGGAATGGCGTCGGATATCGAGNCGGATATCGAGAGCTGTCCAAGTATTTCATGATTTGGATGAATAACAAACAGAGACAGGGATTCCGTTATTTGGCGAAACAGATGGTTAGGGAAGGACTCATCCCAACCGTCGACACATTCTTCTATCTGACGGCCGAAGAAATGGAGAGTTTGTCGAATGGGAGCAGAGATCCGATGATATTCTCGAAAGTGAGACAACGGCGAAGACTTTATCCAAAAATGGATAAATACAAGTTCGAAGAGTTCACTAAAGGACCCGAAATGAAACCCAGAAATGTATGCATTATTTATATTTAAAATTAATGTGTCATTAATTTAAATGTTTGTGTTTTTGTTTAGTTTGAGGACCGCATTATTCCTCCAGTTTTGAGCTCAGGTATGGTTCAGATGAAGGGAACGCCTGTTAGTAATGGATCTGTAAAAGCGAGAGTTTGTGTGTCTGAAGATATAACAGAAGCTGACAATATTCAGGTAATCATTATAATTATGTTTTAAATGTATTACAATATGTGTTTCTGTGTGTTGATAGCCGGGAGATATCCTGATCACGTACTCGACGGACATCGGTTGGAGTCCATACTTCCCATTACTTTCGGGTATAATCACAGAAATCGGTGGAACGATATCTCACGGGGCAGTCATTGCCCGCGAATACGGGATCCCGAGTCTGATAGCAGTGGAGGGCGCGTGTCGTGCCTTCAGGACCGGCGATATCTGTCTATTGGACACTAAGACACAGACCATCACTAAAGTCGAGTAAACCTAATACCAAATAATAGGAATAAATTTATTGTTAATATTTTTATCAATTGAATTGTTATATTTTTAATAAAACTATTTTTACATATTTTACAAACTATTGCAAAGTCTTTGTCTAATCGATATTATATTATGATTTATTTGGTGGTAATAACTCTTGTGATGAGAAGGTATTGAACGCAACAGTGATAATGATCTTTAAATAATACGATTGAATACTTTAACAATACCTCACATTTAGTAAACAAAAAGCTGATCAAACATTTGATGCAAAGGATTGTTGATTTAGTAATCAATCGGATATTAACGCACTTCTATGTCAATGACAGGAAACCAGTTTTTGTATTAACTTTTTTATGCATATAATTACAAATATAAGTTTGAATTTTGTCAGGAATTTTATTAAAGTGTTTTAATAATTGTTTAGTAAACTTAACTATAAATATATAACATATTTAAACCATGTTTAGTTTTTCTTAACAATTATTGCATGTAATTAGTGTACTGTAGTCATCGATGCCATCATTAAAGATACCAGATATGTGGTTATATATTATATTCTTCTGGATCTGTTGTCAACCATTACAAACAGCTTTTATAAGACATACACTTAAACCAAGTTTAAATACAATATCGTCGACAAACACATTAGACGATAAGTCCGATGCCATCACAATATGGCCACAAACGGACACAAAACAGTCACTGCCGGAGATCGATGGCGAGTGCGGTATTAAAAAGCGGTCAAAACTGGCCCGAGTTGTGGGCGGACACAACTCCACATTCGGTTCGTGGCCGTGGATGGTATCGATCCGGAGGTTGTCCTTCTTCAAGACGTCCAGTACTCACAAATGCGGCGGCGCTTTACTCAACCACCGATGGGTGGCCACCGCTGGCCATTGCGTCC